CCATCCATCCGATCCTAGGACAGTGACCAGCTATGCTTAGTTAAACAGGAAACCCAAGAAACAGAACTCAGCTTATCTGAGATAGCACCTCTGACTCATATAGGTTCAAAAGTCACATACAAATATCAATAAAGTAATTGGAGGCCATGCTTTTCATGCCTGGGTTTTTGCATCGGCCTAAAACCCAACAAAACATGGTGGCATATACCTAGGAGAGGTCAGTTAAAACTTCTGTTTCATTCTCATAGTTAATCTCTTATATTCTTACTATTATTAATATGTCTCTCCTATGCCTGAGGTAGAGGGGTCAACAGAGCCACACGTGGGCCTGAGGGTCACAGGTGAAAAAAATCACACCGTATCACTTTTGGATCAACTGACAATCATTTATGGCAGTGCTTTCTAGAGTGTAGTGTGAAATCTGCTGTGTCAGAATCATGAGATGTGGTAGTGTGGCTTGTAAAAATGTAAATTTCTGAGCCCCACCCAACTCTGTTCTCTACTTTCTGGTGCTGAGGCTCAGGAAGCCCCATTTTAACTGGTGATTTAAATGCATGCCATACTTTAAGAGACACTGCTAACGGCTCCTGCGGTAGGAGTAGGGAAACTTAATAGTATCATTATTAACTTTGCATGATAGACAAGGGGGCATTTAAATCAACATTTTGATAGCACTAAGTAGGACAGAGTGGCTTATAATGAAAGCCAGAAAACTCTTTCAAAAACGACCTTGTCTAATGAATTGAATGCAATAGGCTAAAGCCAAGTGACTTTCCAGAAATATTAGCCTGTTTAAGTATTGCAGGAAAGCTCAAGATGAGTCATAACATAAACACTGATAATGATGTCTTTCATCCAAAGCCTGCTTTCCCTATTCTCAGCCAAAATCCAAGAAAGGAGAGAAAACTGCCCTAGGGGCAGGTGGTGCCATTTGTTGTCTGCCCCTCCACCCCTGGTCACCAGGAACACTCCACAGAGCAGCTTCTGTGCTTCCCACCAATATCCTTAGCTTTAAAGGAACAGAAGTAGTTAGCAGCAGAGAGAAAGAAAGAAAATGGCAAGGAAGAGTGAAGAGGCAAAGAAAGCCCTCAAAGAAGTTATAAGAGGAAAGGAAATCCAAGGGAAAAGACAGAGATGCCGGGAAAAATGAAGGCAGATGTAGGAATGAAGAGAAAATGAGAGAAGCAACCACAGAAGAAGAAGTAGAGGGATTTATAGCACAAACTGCAGAGCCAAATAGATCCAGGATCACTCCACAGAGAAAACAGGAAATACTAAAGGGATGTGCACAAAGGGGCAGAACTGCAAAATGTGTGCAGCAAAAACTGATAGAACGGAAAGGAAAAGTAGACCAAGTCCTAAGATTGAGAACAAGGCGTAGATGTCTGCTTTTGCCACTTTTATTGAACATAATGCTGGAAGCTCTTGTCAGTGCCATAAGGAAACCCAAAAAAAGAAAAGCATACAGATATGGGGAAAAAAATTGTCCCTCTTTGTGAATGACATGATTGTCTACATAGAAAAATCCAAAAGAATCTGCAAAGAACAAAACAAAAAACTCTTAGCATTAATCATAATTCAGCAGGGCTGCAAGATACAAGATAAACATAGAAAAAGCAATTATATACCTATTTACCATCAATAAGCACATGACCACCAAAATTTAAAATGCTATTAATAATCACTCAAAACATTTAAATAATTAGGTATAAATCTAACAAGACATGCATACATCTTGTGTGCTAAAAATTACGCAATGCAGATGAGAGAAGCCAAAGCAGATCTAAATAAATGGAGAGGCATACCATATTCCTGAGTTGGAGGACAACATAGTAAATATGTCACTTCTTCCCATGTTAATACACAGATTTAAAGATTCAATGCAGGGGCACCTGGATAGCTCAATTGGTTAAGCATCTGACTTCAGCTCACGTCATGATCTTGCGGTTTGTGAGTTTGAGCCCCATGTGAGGCTCTGTGCTGACAGCTTGGAGCCTAGAGCCTGCCTCAGATTCTGTGCCTCCCTCTCTCTCTCTGCCCTTCTCCTGCTCATGCTCTGTCTCTCTCTCAAAAATAAACATTAAAAAAAAAAAGGTTCAATGTAATTCCAATGAAAATCCTAGAAATATTTTTTTATAATTAGATACAAGATTATTCTAAAGTTTATATGGAAATGCAAAGGAACTAAACTAGCTAAAACAATTTTGAAAAAGAAGAATCATGTGGGAAGAGGCAGTCTACTCACCTTCAGGAGCTATTATATAGTTACCGTAATCAAGGCCATGTGATATTGACAGACATATGAGAGAAAACAGCAATAGATCCACATAATTGTGTCAAATGATCTGTGACAAAGGTGTAAAAGCAATTCAATGGGGGAGAGATGGCCTTTTCAACAATGGTGCTGGCCAAAAAACAAAAAAGAACAAGATAAATCTCACACGTTACTGAAATGTAGCTCAGAATGGTTCATGAACCCAAAAGTAAAATTAAAACTATAAAATGTTTAGAAAAGGAATTAGGAGAAAACGTCAGGATATAGGGCTAGACAAAGAGTTCTTAGACTTAACACCAAAGGCACAATCCATAAATGGAGAAACCGATAAATTGGACTTCATCAAAATTGAAATGTTTTCTTCTGTGAAGGACCCTATTAAGAGGATAAAAAGATAAGCTACAGAGTGGGAGAAATGTTTGTAAACCACATCTCTGAAAAAGGACTAATATTAAAAGAGCTCTCAAAACTCAACAATCAAAAACAACCTGGTTAGTAAATAAGCCGAGACATGAATAAGGATTTCATGGAGAAAGACATATAGATGTCAAATAAGCACATGAAAAAAATGTTCAGCCTCATTAGACATTAGGGAAATGCAAATTAAAGCCATAACGAAATATCACTACACGTCTGTAAAAATGGCTAAAATTAAAAATAGTGACAACTCCAAATTCTGGCAAGGAGGTGGAAGAATGAGACAGCTCATCACTGCGCTGCTGGTGGGAATGTCATGTGGTACAGCTACTCAGGAAAACACTTCAGCAGTTTCTTTAAACATTAAGCATGCAGTTGCTATACCCAGAAACCACACTCCTGAGCATATATCCTAGAGTAATGAAAACCAACCTTCACAAAAAGCCTGTATGTTAATGTTTATAGCAACTTTATTCATTATAGCCCCAAACTTTAAACAACCCAGATGTCCTTCAATGGATGAATAATTGACCAACTGTAGTACTTCTATACCATGTAAATACTACTCAGCACATAAAAAAACAAATGACCTTTTGATATACATAAGCATCTGGATGAATCTCCAGAGAAATATGATGAGTTAAAGAAACTACTCCCAAAAGGCTACATACTATGTGATTGAACTTAGGTAACATTCTTCAAATGAAAAGGTTATAGAAATCTTTTTAGGGAGGGGATGAGTTTGGGAGAAAGAGGATGTGACTATAAAGGGATAACATGAGGGGTCCTTGTGGTTATGCAAATGTTCTGTATCTTGACTACATTAAAGCCAATGTCTAGTTTGTGATATTGCACTATCGTTTTGCAAGATGTTACTTTGGGGGAACCTGGCTAAAAGGTGCAAGGGATCTCTGTATCATTTCTTAGAACTGCACATTAATCTGTAATTACCTTTTTTAAAAAGTTTAAAGAAAGGGGTGTCTGGGTGGCTCAGTCGGTTGAGCATCCGGTTCTTTTTTTTTTTTTAATTTTTTTTAACATTTATTTATTTTTGAGAGAAAGAGACAGAGCACGAGGGGGGGAGGGACAAAGAGAGAGGGAGACACCGAATCGGAAGCAGGCTCCAGAGCCGGATGTGGGGCTAGAACTCACGAACCCGTGAGATCATGACCTGACCGAAGTCAGACATTCAACCGACTGAGCCACCCAGGCGTCCCTGAGCATCCGGTTCTTGATTGTGGCTCAAGTCATGATCTCACTGTTCATGAGATCGAGCCCCATGTGGGACTCTGTGCTGACAGCATGGAGTCTGCTTGGGATTCTCTCTCTCCCCCTTTCCCTGCCCCCTTCTGGCTCTCACTCTTTGTCTCAAAATAAATACATAAACATTTTTTTTTAATTTAAAGAAAAGTGACATTAATGTTTCATGATCTCTCTAGTATCTCCTTCACTGTTTCTATTTAAGCTCCCATTCACCAGATGGCAGGACATAGATCTCAGTCAGTTGAGGGTTTCCCTGCTTCCTTAAATCTGAGTTTCAGGAAGATTAACGTGATGCCAGTCCTGTGCTGGTGTCCAACCATCTGTCCACCTAGGACCCTGCTGCACCCTTTTCACTTTTGGGGCTGATGGTTCCATTCTGGTCCTCTACTGGTTCTTTTTCTCAGTGGGCTGTGGGAAAGCATCAGAAGCCGTCTTGGGTCTATTGGCCAGATACACCCGGTGGGCATTTCAACTCCACAAGCCCAGGGGCTGAAGGAACCCAGGGACCATGCTTGAGTATTGGGGATACAGGTCTCCTTCATTTTAAGGTCCCTCAGCTTTTTCAGGGATGAGAGGGAGGATTTAGATGAGGCATGGTTAAGTGACCACAAAGTGTGCCTTGTGATATCTTGTGTCCCCATCTGACTCCATGTTCGGTTGGTGGCAAGGGAAGGGCTCTGGGCCCATTGTCATGTGCCTGCGGCTGTCCAAATACTCCTTGCTTCCTTTTTGATTTTTCTTTCTCTCAGTTCAAACTTGATCTACCTCAAGGGCAGAGGAGGGTGTGAGACAGTGGATGTACTTCCAAATCCTGTATCTTAGGTCTGGTCCTCATATTTTTTCTCCTGGGTTCTCAGCATTCTGCTAAACCATCCTTCTCCTGGGGGTATGGCATGGAATCTCTTTGTTGCTGCTTGAATTGTCAGAGTAACAGGATGTATGGAGGACAATCTTCTTGTCGTTATGTCAGAATATTATCCCGTAACATATTGTACCATCTTTCTGCCCTTGGTCCCCTGACTGTCTGGCTTGTCTTTCCCTTCAGCTTGTGGCCCAGGTCCTGGAACATAAAGATATAGGCTTTGTGATGGTGGATGCCAAGAAAGAAGCCAAGCTTGCCAAGAAACTGGGTAAGTGGGACTTCTTTAGGCATACCAGGAAGAAACAAATGTGTCTTGCAAAAAAAAAAAAAAAAAAAAAAAAAAAAAAAAAAAAAAAAAAAGTACAGTTTCATTTCTTCTTGCATGGTAACTGGACTATTTTTCAATGAATACAAAACAATTCTGCACACCTTAGTCTTGGGTTGGGGATGAGTTTCATGATTTCACATGAATCATCAAATATATCTTTGTATCACCATAGAAATTGACATCAAAGAAGTCAAACCTTTCTTTTCAGCTCCTAGAACAGGCTAAAAGCCTAGCCTCTTCATCTCACTGCCATGGTTATCTCTCTGGAAGAGAGCAAATCTCTTCTTCCATCATCTATTATTTCCTTATCTCTTGGCTGAAGCAGCCAACACAAGATAACGTTAATAGTAGTGACCCTGGGGTCCCAGTGGTTTCTAAATGCAAAGCTAAACCCCAGCTGGGCATTATCATTAAGGGCGACAGGGAGGATTTAGACGCAGCATGGTTAAGTGACCACACGGTGCGTGTTGTGATCTCTTGTGTCAATACGTCACGCTCAAGTTCAAGTACACTTTAAGATGCTCACACCCCTAATCCCAAGGAGAGACAATATGGGTAGCTCCTCTGGTTTCCCAACACCCACACACATGTACTGCCCATTTTGCCTTTTCTGCATGACCAGTGAAGAATGGCTATTTAAATATAGCAGGAGCTTATAAAACAGGACCTTTGAAGAAAGGTTAATTGGATTTGGGGTAGTAAACGCAGGGGGGAGAAAGATTAGTGGCTTCAGGTACACGAAGGTTCATTATCTTAGAGCATTACAAACAATTGTTCTCTATTTTATTTTCAAGAAGACCAGCTTTTTTCTTTTTTTTTTTAAGATTTAAATTTTATGAGATTGTATTTAGGTGAGACACAAAGAAGAACTCATGGTTATGAAACGATAGCAGATTATTAAGAATGTCTGGGGTATCTCTTTCCCTGGGGATAAATTAAGGAATATTTTCCCCCTTTGGTCGGGGGAACAGAGTATGTTAAACTGTTTCCCTAGTCAAAAACAATTTAATGACTTGTTTCTCTGCCCCCAGATTCTATTGATACCCTAGTCTTCTTTCCCATTGCTTTCATGGAAAGTTGAATTTGAGAGAATTTCCAGTAAATTTAATTAGGGGAAAATACTAGTATTCCAGTGATCTAAGAATTTAGGGTGGTGGGAGGCAAATGCTGGACAAGCTTTTATAAGAGTGGACCAGTGGGTATCCTCAAGTGGACAGAGCTTGAAAAAATCTAAGCAAACTTTTCTCTACATTCAGCCTGGAGGAATTGGAGCAGATTCTTTTGGACTGTTTGGCTCTCAGAGTTTACAGGACAGTGGTATTTTGTGAACCTGCTCTTTCTTCATCATCCTTCCTTCCGTTTGCCTGAGTTTGGTTTCCATCAGGCTATGCCTGAACTACTACAAAAGTCTCCTAACTGGTTTCACTCAGAGAAAACTCCAACATCAGGACACTGGCTGATGTTCCCAAGTTACCTGTTGTTGTTGGTCATTGCTGGCCTCAAGGATACTTGACACCTTGACCCTTTAGATTTACAAATGGTGCTCCAGAATGTGTCTGGGGTTTTTCAGATGTGCCCTGGGACACAGCAGGCAGTGGGCCAGCCTCCTCTTCTCTAGAGGCTCTACAGGAGAGTTCCTTTGGAGAAAGCATTCTCCAGCTAATAGAGAGTTTGAAAACAATTTGTCTAAGGAATTAAGGATGCCATGCAGTTAGACTAAATGCCAGCCTGGGTTATTTAGCATTCCTGGAGGGAAACATAGTTTTCCAGCGAACATTTGTTAAAGTGCATAGCATTACGCCAGCAGCAATGGAGGGCAGAGAAGAGGCAGAACTTTCCCTTGCAGCATTATCAGCTAACTGGGAAAAGATGTGCAAAATTCAGCCACGATATAAAAGCAAGCCGCTCATTCTGGCCACGGACATTTATGGGGTGCCTGATGTGTCCAGGCTCTGTGCAAGCTTCTGGGGACACCAAAGTGACAGTGGTCCTGCCTTTGGAGACCTTACTGTCCCAGTGAGTACCTGTAAATGAAGCTGAGAGAAGAGTAATGGTGGTGAGAGAGATTGGAGTGGCCTTCTTGGGAAAGATGAGTCCTAAGCCGAGATCCAAAGGAACTGACCAGGATGAGAGCAGGGTTGGAGGTCACTCCAAATTTGAGGAACCAGGAGAACATCTGTGTAAAGAACCACACTCTGTGGCTTTTCCTTTACACACTCTTTCACATCAGCATGAGGGCAAGAAGGAGGGAAGCACACAAAGAGAGCGGGTCTACCCAAGGGAGAATGTGAAGGGTAGGATTGGCACTAGGTCATGGAGGGACTGGAATGCCCGGCTAAAAGGAGTCAAGTGGGCACTGAAACATTTTATAGGGAGAATGAGGTTGGCAGCATATTTGGAAAATGAAAGCAGTGGTAGGGTAGAGAATAGATTTTTCTATCAAGTTAAAGTCCAGGTGGGGCCAGTGGTTCTTGACTATTTCAATTTAAATGTGTACTTAGGGTGTCCTTTACAGGGGTGGTTTCAAGGGGAACTGATCCTGAGGTTAATGCTAGCTCCATAGATCTTGAGCCAGACTTCAGCCCGGGGGATGATTTTTCTTGCATCAGGATGACCTTGTCTTGGGGACTCTTTGTTTCTTCCAGGTTTTGACGAAGAAGGAAGTCTGTATGTTCTTAAGGGCGATCGCACAATTGAGTTTGATGGCGAATTTGCAGCTGACGTCCTGGTGGAGTTTCTCCTGGACGTAAGCATTTATGCACAGTGGCCCTGCTTGGAGCTGTTTGGGTTCAACTACAGGGGGATGTAAAACCCCAAAGTAAAAACAGAGAAGCTGGATAATCTGTCCTGGTCTAAGACAGTTTCCTCATGCTTCACAAAAAACCTGGGAGTACCTACTTCACAGTGCTATTTTCTACTGGGAAGCTGGCCCTTAAGTTACCTTAGAAACTGTTTTATTAGTGACCAGAGTGTCACTAATCGGGATCGTGTAGGCAACACACTAGTTTACTTAGCAGTTATACACCAGGAGCCCCTGACGCCCCCTTGGCTTTGCTCCAGGGCTTCTGGAGAGAGTGGGAAAGAGAGATGGGTAATCACTTAGAGATAGAATAACAATCAGCTGAGGGTGGCAGGACTAATGAGCCCCCGATATCATACTCCCTCTCAGCCACAGAAGCACGACACTATAGATCCATATGCTCAGGCAGATAGAGGAACAGACATTATAAAAATGTTATCCATAAATAACCTCACACTTTCAATAATAGCTGTGAAGTCGAATGCTTTCAAACAGATACCTGTACAGGTAAACGACATCTACGCTGGTGATTTCCTATCTACCAGCTAGTGCACAGTGGCCTGTGGCCTTTTCCTCACGGCCTCAAAAACCCAGAAAGAGTGAGTCAAAAGAGAGTTGAAGGCCATCTCCTGCAAAAAAGCACCCAAGAGTCTCTCGGCTCTCTCATGGACCCATACCTACAAGCCCTAAAAATGTGAAGGAGGCAACAGAAAACTCTGGGTCAACCCAGCACTGGCCCATCTCTGTCAGCCAAGTGGAGGCTTTTAGATGCACGTAATGGAAACCAAATTCAGCTACCTAGAAGCACAAATGGAAGGGCAGAGAGAGGGCAGATTTTAGACTTATTGACAAATCACAGGTAGTCTGCTTTTCAGTGTTGGTTTTGTCCTCCAGCTGACTCTTCTCAGGTTGGTTACAAGAAAGCCAGTGGCAGGAGCTGATACTCACATCTCATTCATATGCAATGGGAGGTAAGAGCGGGGGGTGCTGGGAGGATCTAGCTTCCTTTGTTCTCTTTAAAAGAAAGGAGAACTTTCCCAAAGCTTTTAGCAAATCTACCCCGAGAGCCATTGGCCAGAATGGAGTCACAGACTATTCTAAACTCAATAGAGGAGGAGACAGAGAGAATTGCCCAGTCGACCTACTCCTGAGTTAAGTCCATTCCTCAGAAGGCGCTGCCGCTGTGCTCGCTGGGGATGCATGGGGTCCACAGCTTCCTGCCAAAGTAGCTTACATGTGTGCCTGATTTCCCCACTGAGGAAGGAACAGTTCTCTTTTTCGAACATATTTCATACACGTGTGTGTGTGTGGCATTCTAGCTAATTGAGGATCCCGTGGAGATCATCAACAGCAAACTGGAAGTCCAAGCCTTTGAACGCATTGAGGACCACATCAAGCTCATTGGCTTTTTCAAGAGTGAAGACTCGGAGTGTAAGTTGTCTGTCAGCCCCATCTGGGAGTCTAAAGCCTAGATTCCCAACCAGATATGTTACATGTCGCCCATAAAGAAGATGGGCTATCAGCATATCCTGTGCTGGGTGGGATGGAGGGAGAATCTTTTCTTGCACCCTCTGCCATGGGTGGGACCCATGTCCGAGAATTATGCAAAACAGGCAAGGATGCTGGAAGAGCATTAAGGTTGGGGCCATGTTCCCTGATCTTGAAGCGGGGAGGTGAGTGCTTTACAGAAGAGAGAAAAGTCTCCCTCCCCTTTTTCCACCTGGCCACCTACCAGTGGGACTCTCCCCTAAAATAAGTAAATAGCGGGCTCTCTCTCCCTGATGTTAGCCCCTCCTGTGGTCACCGGTTAGAGAGCTTCTCAGTCACTTGGACAGGATTAGAGGAAAATTTGAGTAGGCGGGGCTTTGCAGCTGCCACACAGTGTGGAAAATTGCTGGCCAACCCCACAGCTGACCACCAAGGCTCCCTGCAACAGCACAACTTCACCCTTGGGTATAATCCCTTTGAACGCTTTGTGGTCAGGTTTTGGGTGGGCACAGGAATGCCTCATAACGCTACCGCCACCCATACGGGGGTGAGAGGGTAGAGAGTGGGAATCAGGAAGAGGAGGGACCAGCAAGGCTACTACTGGAGTACCTCTTTCCAAAGAGCTTTGGCAGCATGACCCAATGAAGTAATCCTTTTCTTGAAGTCTCAGCCGTGGAGAGGAGAGTGATAGAAGGAGTGGGCATAACCATGGTAGCATTAGTGCGTGGGGGACATGCAAAGGAGGGCTGCTTATGATGTTTCTGGAAAGTCCAAAATATTTTGAAAATATTTTGAAAATCCTTTGCGGGGCGCCTGGGTGGCGCAGTCGGTTAAGCGTCCGACTTCAGCCAGGTCACGATCTCGCGCTCCGTGAGTTCGAGCCCCGCGTCAGGCTCTGGGCTGATGGCTCAGAGCCTGGAACCTGTTTCCGATTCTGTGTCTCCCTCTCTCTCTGCCCCTCCCCCGTTCATGCTCTGTCTCTCTCTGTCCCAAAAATAAATAAAAACATTGAAAAAAAAATTAAAAAAAAAATCCTTTGCAAAGCTGTTACCCGTCTGCCAGCTGGCATCCTTGGTCCTTTGCACCAACAACCCACCTATTTTCCCTCTCCCGTAACCAAATGTAACCATTTTTTCATGTGTTATATAAAAGCCTCTCCACTCGCCCTCCTTAGCAGCGTGCCTGCAGAAGGTGGCTAGCCAAAGAGGTTTGCCCAGCTGTCCTTTGGGTGATTTCACTTCGATTTTTCTGTTTCTTTTAGATGCTGACTACTGTGGGGGTGCTCTGCCTACTCCCGTCTTCTTTCTCTTTAATTTCCTTCTATTTCACTTTCTCCTTTTCTGTCCCCACCCCTCCATTTGTTTTGTCCTCTGTTTCTCTCTCCTCCATTAAGCTCAGGATAGCAGATAAGGAGGGAGGCCAGGCCCAGACTGGGATAAAGAGCACATCTTTCAGTTCCTATTCTCCCTACTAAACCAATTGACAAAAACAGCTTCCTTTAATAAACACATGTCATGGGCCAAGGCCTGTGCCAGGAGCTCCATACAGATGCCTTCATTTCTTTCTCATGACTAGCCTGTAGGGTGGTTACCGTATTATCCGCATTTTAATGATGAGGAAATGAAAGGAACAAAAAGGTTAAAGTAACTCACTGTCACACAGCTAGTAAATAAACTGTAGAGCCACGATGTCAGTCCTAGGAATCTGACTTTATAGCTGACACACTTAAACACTGTTTTGTACTTTCAAGACTTAACACACTTTTTTCACGCCATGGCACACACAAAACGTGGGAATGCTTATACAGCCCATAGGAGTAAACTGGAAAGGATTTGGACATAGTGGAAAAACAAAACATTCTTTTGCTTTCTTTATATACTACTACTGTTACCACTAATAATAATAATAATAATAATAATAATAATAATAATAATAATAATAAAAGAAGGTAAGAGAAAAGTTATCAAATATTGCATTGCATAAATCCTTCAAATAAAATATTTTTAGATTTTTGAGATAGATTTTGAAACAGCAACATGCTATTCCCGGTGAAGGGTTTAAATGATCTCTTCTGCTCTTGATGGTCACAGTTGATAAGAGACTTTGGATGGGGGCAAATGATAGGACAATGGTCATTGCTTTGTCTTTGATGGATGAGCGGTCTTTTCTCACCACTGAACAGAATTCAGGAAATCTAATCTCTAAACTATCCTTCCAAGGTGTGAGCGTTCTTTTAGCCCTCATGGCTATTACTTTCTTTTTCATCGATAAATGGAATATTCTTATGATAATCTGAATAGATTTCAAATTCAAAGCTTTCCATATTATATATTTGAAAATAATGATGAAGCATTTCCTTAGGAATACACAGATATTGCTCTCCTGGTCTTACCATTTTTTTCCCCTGAAGATTCAAATAATAAAATCACTAGTGAGACATTTCAATCTCCTTTGTAAGGCTGAATTTTTATCTGTAAATTGACACGGTTTGTCTTTAGGAATACCTGATACCAGACCAGGTTAATAATACTGATTATGATGATGATGAACACAGTAAAAAAGAGCAATCATACATTCATTCCATTGATGTTAGTAGAAAATACAAACATTAGAGTATATTAAATCAAAACCGAAAAAATGGACTATTTTACAGAGTGTCACAAACCAAAAAACATCACTGATGACGAACAAACGTGACTTTGGTCACAATCACAACACCTGAGAAGATCCAGTGAGGAAGTCAGGGGAGTGGCCTCTCCAAGGCTGTCTTAGCTGTGATGCTTTCTGACGTCTTCGGCAGAAGATAATTGTTCCAAAATGCAGGAAGTTTACAGAGGGGGCCATGACTTTCAGATATAATACTAACTACTGTAGAATTTTGAATGGTTGTGGAAAGCACATAGGAAGTTTATCACCACAAGAAAATGTATGTCTCTCAAGGCTGTTGTGACGCACCGGTTGCTACCACACACTGACTGAAAGCATCACGACGTTCTATCAGGCATCCACATCTCTCTGTTTCTTCTTGCCCTGCAAAAGAGGATGGAGTCCGTGGATGGGGAAGCTAGGAGTTGGTAAGGCACCAAGGGAAACAGTCCTGTATTTCTGCTGTAATTTGAGGGTGATTGGTCAGGGAACTTTAATGGCACCAAGAGCATTGGCTCTACAAATGATCCCAAGCCATCCTATAGAGCAAGAACGATGGAGGGACAATGGAGAATTGGAGGGGTTTCACACATAGTTAGACTGGAATGGTCTTGGGAGAAGAGGGTACTAAGTGATTTGGGACCAAATTAGAAAGGACCTGGAAGAACTGGGGGGCTACATCTACCAAGGAAGTTGGACATGAAGGTTCACATCTGGCTTTAACATGTAGCTATGGATGCTAGTGTTGAAAGAGCATGACGGGAACTCTCTGGGGGAAATTCAGCTGATGTTAAGAATTCCAAACTGGGGGAAATCTGGAGCTTGCGGGGGCGGGGGAGGGTGGTACAATACTCAGAACAGAAACCCTTGAGAGATGGGAAGAAAGGTGAGGAAATGCTAAGATAAGTGTGCAGTAAGCTGGAGGTTGAAGGCTGAATGTTGAGGAGCCTATTCCAGAAGGGGAAACTGGAGGGTCAGTCTGAAGGAGCCAGGATGGAGCTGGTCAGCATCAGAACAGGACGTGAGGGCAGGAATACCTGGGACCACATGAGGTGAGACCGAGCAGGCGGTTAGGCCAGGTTCCCTGCAAGACAGCTGCTGTTTGGGCAAGGTTAAAGGTTCAGCCACAGTTTGAAGCACCACCCTGGGGACTTGCCTTGCTCTATCTAACCTTCTTCATCTTAAAAGGGATATAAACTGGTTCCCTAGGGGAAGAAGGGAATTCTCTGGACACAGGTTTAGGCCATTCTTTCCATCAGGGTAGAAGTTAAGGAAGTGGGGAGAGATTCATCAGGGACAAGGGGGTCAGGGAAGGAGGATTCTGATGGAGCCCACTGCAGCTTTAGATACACATAAATGACTTTGGTATAGCTTAAACACTTCCATTCTCTCCCACCTTGTCTTTATGCATTCTCCAGACCTCCCACCCATCTTCTTTCCCTCCACCCCCTTCTCTACCCCAACTATCAGTCTATAGGATATATTTTCTGGCTACCCAGTTACTTTTATGGGGGTGGGTTTGTGTGAATGTGTATCAGTCTGTACAGGCATTCTTGTAAATTTTTCAACCCCCCCCCCCATCTGTGTTTATTGTGTTTACCTCTATTCTAGCAACCACATTGCACTGTGATTCTCTAAGGATCCATACCCTCTCTGGGTTGTGAGCCTTTGAGATCAGTGGCTTTGTCTTATATCTTGGTGTTTCCTGAGCCAGTATTATTCTTGAAATGTTTTTGATTGACTATTAGAAAAGTCTTCATGCTCCTAGAATCCTAGCCAAAGCCTATGCTTTAATGATTAAGAGACAGGGGATTCCACAAAATGGGAGAAAGCTAATCTTAAGAATGAATCATAGGATGACCACTTTTCAGGATTATAGACATTATGCAGAGCCACCACCACCATCATTACCATCACCATCACCTTCACCTCTAAGGCTGAAAGACCAGTGTATTTGCCAGGTAGCTATCCCGATGTAGTAAGGCACAGTATGACCATCCTCATGTGTCTCATGCCTCTCTTGACCAGTTTGGACTCACGTTTGGGACCAGAGTCAAGCATAGGCTTGATTAATTTTAAATCATCCTCCCAAGGGGTCAGAATAAAAACAAAAACTTAAAAAGAGGGAAAGAGAGGTGCCTGGGTGCCTCAGTCGGTTAAGCGTCCGACTTCAGCTCAGGTCATGATCTCACAGTCTGTGGGTTTGAGCCCCGCGTCAGGCTCTATGCTGACAGCTTGGAGCGTGGAGCCTGCTTTGGATTCTGTGTCTCCCTCTCTCACTGCCCTTCCCCTGTTCGCGCTCTCTCTCTCTCTTTCTCTCTCAAAAATAAAATAAAACATTAATGAGAGGGAAAGAAAAATGAGGATTTACCAAAAGGGGTATTCCTGCTAAGAAGTTTAAAGTACCTTCATGATGTCATCTTTAATTGAGGTTGCTTTACATACTAAGGTGGATTTTCTTCTTAGCACTCATTTATAGTAAGCTGCACTCTCTCTAGAGGGCACACTTACAACTAGTGGTGAGTTTGAGTGGAAGAACTTTTCCCTTGGGTTTAGAGTCTAATATTCTATTTTCCTCCCTCTCTGAGTTTCCTCCATTTTCTCCTTCCCATTTACCAATTCCCAAAAACACATAAAAATGTGGTAAAGGGTTCTTCTTTAGCTCAAGTGACTACCAGTCAATTCAAACTCCTTGGGGGGAAATTGTGGGTTTAAATAGTACTAAATCATTATCTATCTAAATAATATCTTCTGAATAATTATCCAGTCAGGATTAATTGGCCCCCCACTTTCTCGACATTATTTAAAGAGAGAAATGTCTGCAGTGTGCATCTTGAAAAGGTCTCTTTCTTTGATCTTTTTCCCTCTTAGATTACAAGGCTTTTGAAGAGGCAGCTGAACACTTCCAACCTTACATCAAATTTTTTGCTACGTTCGACAAAGGGGTAAGTACCTGTGAAACCCCGATTAAAATACTTTTGTAGGCACGTAGGATTAAAATTTGAACTTTACAGTACTGTTTTCTTCTTTTGGAAACATTAACCATCCTCCATCCATTAATACTTTCTCCAGAAGTGCTAGATATATGGCAGGACATCACTTTTGAATGGGAGAGGGGTACAAAGATGATAAATCCAGAGGATCGAAGAGTATTTCTGAAAACAGTCCATGAAAAGTGATGGACCACTCTTTGCCACCTCGATCACTAAGAGTGGGAGATGCATCAGCAGAGTGTGCCAGGACACCGGTCACTGCTTCCTTGTTTTTAGAGCGATTCTCCCCCTTCCCAGGGTTGCATGCTCCCCGCTCTGTTGAGTTAGGATGGGATGGAATGGGGAGGACAACTGGTCATTTGGAGCCTTGCGCACTTCAGTAAGTTGCCTACATCTCCAAGAGAAGTCCTTGATGTACTTGTCTATAATCCAGTTCTTTCTTTTCTGGATGTGGCAAGTGCTTTCATAAGCCAAAGAACGGCCTATGTGAGGGACTTCGAATCAATGGGTAGTTTATTTGGGGTCTACTGTGGTTGGAGTTCTGACTCCAATGGCTACTATTTATCAAGGGCTTTCCATATGTTGAGTACAACTTGCAATATTGCATTTGTGTGATCTCTAATCATTTCAACAACTTTGAAAGGTAAGAAGTCCCACGTCCCAGATGACAAAACAGAGTTAGAAAGATTCAGTAACAACCAAGGTCTCCAGTGAATTAATGGTAGTGCTGCGATCCCCGCCTATGCCCCAAACCCCTGCCCTTTCGTTGGTACCACACACTTAAGCAGAATACCCTGTACCTGCCCTTGAGATTCAGAGTGCATGCCCACACACCCACACTCACATAGCAGACACACATAACACAAAAACTCATGCGTAACACACATATAAAACACCCACCACACATATAACACATACAACAAACCCAACACACATACATAACACACCACACACATAAGCACACAACACACAAGACACATACAACACACACACTCACACAACACACAAATATAACACATACCTCCTCACACACACTTACACTCAAATCCACACCACACTTACCTAGCTATACTCAATACACACATTCACACTCACATCCACACCTCCACATATATGATTCTCTGTCTCTCTCAATCTCTCTCTCTCTCTCTCTCTCTCTCTCTCTCACACACACACACACACACCAACTAAAAACCCTAAATCACCATATTTACTAGAACAAATAAATCTAGGACATACTAAATCCTGATCACATTCAAGTAAAAGTTAGGCAGAGAGTGGCCTACTGAGGAATAAGGTAGTGGGGGAAGGGGTTCTGATGGACCTTTATACTATGAGAAGTTCAAGTATTCTGTGAAGAACAAGAGGAAGCCTGTAAGGAAGCCTGTAGGTGCTGAAGCAGGGAAGGAGTATGACAAAAATAGATCGTATTCAATCTTTGTATATGTGTATATTGAACCACCTCTATGGATAAAAATTCTGGATTAAAAAGGATCCAGAAGAGAGTCTATAATCTGAGTCTTGTAACCTAAACTTGAAGAAAATGTACCGTAACTGGTTGGATTAGAGTCCAAAGAGATCTTGGGCAAGAATGCCAAGAAGAAGAGTAACTATCACTTATTAAGTACTTTTTACATGCCAGGCTTTGTACTGAGAGCTTTACATAGCTGTTTTCGATTATCTCAACGTGCCTATAAAGGGAGGATTAATATTCTCAGTCAACACAGAATGAAACCAAGGCACCGAGAGATTAAGTGATTTGCTCATGGTCACATAGTGAGTTAGTAGTCAAGCCTGATATAACCTCAGCTCAGCCTGACTTCAAAGTCAATGCCATATACTACTTACTGCACATCAGAGAAAGAAACAATACATGTGAAGCACTTCGCTGGCGTCTGGCACATGGTAAACATTCAGTAAATGTTAGTCCTGCTGAGCATAAAAGGCAGCCATCTAAGCCCAGGAAAATGGAGGTTGGAAGATAATTTTAGAGAGAAGGGGACGTACAGGGAAGCCTAAACTGAATACATCATTGATGTTCATTTATGATAGGCCAGCAGTGACTGACGTGGCTCCTGGGTAAGAAATCATCTGAGGGAACAGAACCAGGCAGACGGGCTTGGCCAAGCAACAAAGCCTCAGTTCTGAGAAGGGTGGCCCAGGGTAGGCTGTGTTCAGGGTAGTGTTTGTTTTCAGACGTGCCTCCCAGCCTAACCATATGGCTTCGTGTCTGTGGCCCATGAAGAAGGTGAGGTCAGGCTATAATTAAAAACTCAGAAACCTCTTCACTCAAAACTCTGTAAGACACTGAATCATAAGTGTCCCCGTTCACATAGCCTTGTTGGATTTTATAACATTTAAAAAGAGAAAGACACCCTGTCTTCCTCTACATGGGACACAGAAAAGCAGTCACACTTAGAGGACTCAGTGTCACTTGGGGCTTGAAAATTGCACCCATCAGTTGGGAGACAGAGCCCAAGACAAGAAGAAGATGGTGAAGTCCAGAAGGCTTGGCTGCTCCCAGCAGCTGCCTCAATGGTGTACAGCACGGGGCGCTAGTGAAGAAGAGGGAGCTGGAAGAACCTTTTGTTGAGACAGCATGGCAGCCCAGAGGGACACACTAGAGCGGAGGTGCTTTGTAGAGGTGTGAAGTCAGGAGAGTCCAGGGGCAAGGAGGCACTCATATAGTCTCGAAGACGAAAAGCCAACTGGCAGAGGTCGAGATGACAAGAGGACTTGGCCACTATTGAGGTGAGGGAGAGAAAGCCAAGAGAAGACTCAAAAATAAGATTGCAAGTCTCTGTTTCGAGACAGCAAAGACTTTGAAGCTACTGAAAACATTAGGGAATCTAGGAAGAAGAATCTACCGAGCAATGTAAGGATGGGGTTGATGAGTTCTCTTTCTGCAAGCAGGGAAGACGTATAACTAGAGATGGCTTTCATTTATTTATTCATTTTCTCATTCAGAGAATATTTATTGAGTGCCTTTTATGTGCCAGAAGCTCTTCTAGATGCCAGGAACACAACATCGAGCAAAACAGATTCCTGTCCCTGTAGAATTTAGAGTTAATGTGGCAGGGGAGGAGGTGAGGTGAAGATGGGAAGACAGAAAGTAAATAAACAAACCAATAAATACGTTATATTAAATATATGAGTAAGAGAACCATAAAGACACTGAGATGTCAGGGCTGCTGATGTAGATTTGGGAGTTAGTTGTTTCCAACCGCTGTCCATATTGGTATCCCCCAAGGAGCTTTTAAAATCATGGATTCCTGAGCCTACATCTAGAAGTTGGTGTTTTTTTATGGTTGTGCCCAGGCCCAGGAATGTGTGTTTTCAGAGAGCTCCCTGGGGAGTTTTACCTGGCCCACAGGTTTGGGACCAGTACTGATTGATCTACGCATCCTGATCCTAAACCAAGCCACAACATCTCTGGAGCAAATGGAGCAAGAGAATCTAAGAGCTAAGGATGGCAGGCTTACTCTCCAAGATACCACTGCAAGAGTGGAAGAAAGGGCTTCTCAGGGATACAGAGCGGGGCACTCTGTGGTGGTGGTGGCGGGGATATGGTGACTATCTGGAAAATTTTGTTCGGGTTTCCCAGGACTGAAACTTAAGAACATCACAATCCAACTTTACGTTCATGATCTTAACATCGCAAAGCCAGACACTGGCGCTCACGGACCAGACACACACACACACACACACACACACTGCCTGGATTTAAATTCAGGCTCTATCCCCCTCCACATATGTGATCTTGACAAACTGCATACACAGATTGTGCCTCTGGCTCATTATCTGTAAAATAAGTATAATGATGGTTCTCACCTCAGCAATCCAAGTGAGGATTCATAAAGGACTCAACAGAAAGCACCTTGCACGAGTGCCCGACACACAGTGAGCACCCCTGGTGTTTGCTACTATTACTGTTTTCCTGCGTCCTGTCAATTCCCACTTCCTATAAGCACAGTTCCCTGGTTCCTAACATATGTAGTAAGTGAAGTCAGAAACCCAGAATCCAGTGTCATTTTAAGCCCATTCTCTGATGGGCCCAGCTTTGTAAACAACAGTTTGAAAACCCAGACACTGGTTGTGTGGTTGCTGGTTCCCTCCTGCACTCCCCACCCCATCATCCACACCACCCCCGGCCCCGTACAAGAAGGGGGGATCAGTAAGAAAAAACTCCACACTTCCCTGTCCCTCAAAATCAACATGACCATAAATCTCTTTTGACTGACTGTAGTTCCTAAGAAATGTCTTTTGGAATATAGTGACCTGGAATTAATAGCAATTGATGACAAAAGCCATAGGGACACCAGTGTTGGCTCAGAATGGCCCTCCTTGTATAACAGCTTATGTAATACCCAGTTCCTCCCCCTCCCCAATTAGTCACGGCTGCCCGGGGCCTCTGTACCATCGGTTACCGCCACAGGGCGTCAGCTCTTAGGCAATTCCTCTTTCGTTTCAAGGGAACCACTGTTCATCCCTGTGCTTTCTTGGACCACAGCTCTGAACTAGAAAAGAATGGCATTTGATTTTCTACAAAGCGTTGCACATTCCAGGCCTCTCAAATCATTTCACAAAAAGAGATTTGAGCTCAGCAGCTCTGCAGGCGAACACAGCAACCATTCTGCCCTGAGAGCAGACCGTGCGGCCACTTTAATCAAGAGCACCGATGTCTTCCGGGCTACAGGCTGGCTCCCCGAGCTTGTTATTTGGTAGAGGGTGAGCAGTTCACCCTGGCTTGCCGGGTACTAGCCCAGTGTTAACGCTAAGAGTCTGAAGTCTGGGAAAGCCCTCCACTCTGGACCAACCAGGATGGCTGGTCACCCTCTGGCTGGCAACAAAGCGGGCAGTTCCCAGAGCCTGAGAACCCATAGGACAAGCCCTGCACTGAGAGAGAACCCTAGGGCCAGTGCTTTCAGCCTAAATCGAAAGGAGGGGGTAGGGGCTGATTGAGGACGGATTAATGGGTTGACCACTGATTCTGAGTACTTGTATGCTCTAAATGGTTTCCATCAATTGCCTGTGCTATCAAAATTGGTTCAGTTAAATCCATGCATCCCAGAACACTGAGCTTGCTCTGTTGACATTTGCTTCTTCCCCCAGCCCTGGCAAATACAGTGGCGTGATGACGATTGTGCAATTAGACTTCACACTTTTTATTCCCACTGCTCCCTGCTCCTGCCTGGACCTCATCTGCCAGATAGGTTTTTTTCCTTCCTATCAGTCCTTCTCGAGTCAGTTGAGCTAAGCATCGGCGATGAGTTTCTACCATTTCAACATTTAAAAAATTTTTTTAACATTTATTCATTTTTTGATAGAGACAGAGCATGAGTGGGGGAGGGACAGAGAGAGAGGGAGACACAGAATCCGAAGCAAGCTCCAGGCTCTGAGCTGTCAGCACAGAGCCTGACCCAGGGCTCGAATTCATGGACTGCAAGATCATGACCTGAGCTGAAGTCGGACGCTTAACCGACTGAGCCACCCAGGCACCCCTCTACTACTTCAACATTTAAGTTAAAACTGTAAAGAACACTGTCATGTCTTTGCCAGAAAATTCTCACGCACTCCTTACAGATGGGCAACCCACTGCCACTCTAAACTGGCATTTAAGGAAACTATTGTCGTATTTCTGAATGTTACAGGTTGCAAAGAAATTATCCTTGAAGATGAATGAGGTTGACTTCTACGAGCCATTTATGGAAGAGCCCATTGCCATCCCAGACAAACCTTACACAGAAGAGGAGCTCGTGGAGTTTGTCAAGGAGCACCAAAGGTGCCCCAGATGGCATGCAGGGGATACGGGGTGGTGGTGGTGGTGGTGGTCGTGGTCTAGGGTCTGGGGAAGGGAGAAGAACCTCTTGGTCCTAACATTGTGGGCCTCCTGAGAACAACAACCTGGAGTTACTGCCCCAGTAGAACTGACGTCAGTAGTATGGCTTTGTTGGTCATTGATCAGTTGGGCAGGGATGTCGCTACCTTTTCTAAATATGGGTCTACACCTGCAAATGGGGTTAGACCACCTCCCCACAATCAGCAAATCCCCCCTAAGTCATAGTAAGATACAAGTCAAATTCCACAATAATGACAGAGTGATTTAGTGACAGCCAAATACCAAATACCATGCTAAGTGCTTATGGAAACTATTTATCTAACATTCAACATTATGGAGTAATTAGTATTATCCCAATTTTACAGATCAAGGAATTGGGCTACGAGTAGTTAAGTAGCTTAGCCATGGCTGAACATTTTATACACAGAACTTCTGGGAGAGGAATATTTGATACGACTTAGAGTCGCTGTAGCACAGATCGGCCAACTTTTCCCATAAAGGGCCAGAGAATAAATATTTCAGGCTCCACGGGCCAGATGGTTTCTGTTGTAATACTCAGCTCTACTGTTGTAGTGTGAAAGCAGCTGTAGACAGCATGTAAACGAATGGGTGTGGCTGTTTCCCAATAAAAGCTTATTTACAAATACAGGAGGCACTGGCTGGATTTGCCCGCCAGCTCTAGTTTGCTGACCCCTGCTCTTGAGGGAGGGACAATATTGAAACATGGAACATGGTGGTGGGTTCACCGCCTCACCACCCACCTTCTCCAACACGTGCCCACGTTGTTCATTGAACCTGGAGCATTATGATTGCATCACCTGGTCGTCCTGGTCCCCACAGGGAGGTGGTGTTTGGAGGAGCAAATATCAACATGTCCAGCACTATTTGCCAACATTCAGAAAGACATAAAACCATGAGCAAAATAGAGTTTTGCCTGTTCTTCCTAAACATCCCTAAAGAACTTTTGGGTGATGACCCAATGACAAGACAATGCAGTTCTGGGCTGGAAAAACCAAGACTTTTGTTTTCTCTCCCAGGTGTCCTCATTCTGGGCCTGTTCTGGGTTCTCAGGAGTGTCCTCTGTCAATGGGGAAGGAAATGGCTTCTTGCCCAGGGAATGAGCCCAGCCTGAGCCCTCTGACCCACTGTTTGTAATCCTTGGATCACATGGGTCTGTGAAAAGGCTGGGAGCTTCAGGCTCAGCTCTGTGTGTGACCAAACAGGGTAGAACAGCTCTGTCTCCTTAGGGGAGATTTCTAGAGCTCTTCACCCCCTTCATACCCTTGCAGATGAACCAGCATCTCATTGTACATTTCGCTGGGCTGAGGCTGCAGCGTCTGCCTTGGAAATCCCTCCTCAAAGAAGCTCACCTTTGTTTTTTTCAGACCCACCTTACGTCGCCTGCGCCCAGAAGATATGTTTGAAACATGGGTAAGAAAGTGGCAAACCCTTTCTGCCTTTTTAGACACGAGTATATTCCCCAAGAGGGGAGTCCCCAAACTTAAACCAAGTTTTATTGTGCTGGAATGGATGTCTGGAGGGTGGAGTATTTGAAACGTGGACAACATTTAAATTAAGTTAAATTAAAGCCCAGTTCTCCATGGACCCGGTTGAAGAGTCTTTGGTACCACCCACTAGGTAAGATTACTCCATCTCTGAGTTGGTTTCCCACAGTGACTACTGGCTTCTGTTGACTGGCAACCAGAGACCCAGGGTCATATAATGGAAGGAGCTCAGGCTGTGGGGGTCATAGAGACACAGGTTCAAATTCAGAATCTGCTACCTGGTAGGTCTGCATCCTGCATCAAGTTATGTTATCCTTCTGAGCTTTAGTTAGTTTCTGCTTCTCATATCAGGGCTTTTTGTTAGGGACGAGCAGTACGAAGAACCCAGAGCGTGGTAGGTGTTTGGCCGGTCAACGGTAGCCCTTTTCATAAATGTCAACTCAAGGTGCTGGAAAGCGCTAAGTCAGATTATTCCCTGGGTCTGTGCCATAGATGATGCGTCAGGTGGGTCAAAAGATAGATATTGAAAGATGGCCATGGAGGTGCACCTCCCCTCCTACCTCAGCTTTACACAAAATTCCCTAAACGATAACAACCAAAGTCTGTGGAGCATTTTTCAAAGCATGTATCCTCTTAAGCTGGATGTTTCAACAGTTCCAAAGAGTAATGTAGAACAGGTCATATTTAACGTCATTTTACATGGGGCAACTGGTGGTCATGTGGATTAAGTTAACTACTCAAGGATACAAAACTAATAAGCATTAGATCTTGGGACTTCAGTTTACATCATTTGGAGCCAAATCTCATGTTCTCTTTAGTAGAGTCCCCTAGAGGAAGCCATGTCCCCATAAGGCACCATTTTGTCAGGGGCTGTTGGGGGAGGAGAAAGGAATTAATATGGAGGCACTTATTTATTTATTTATTCTTTAATTCAGAGCCCAAAGTGACAGATGAACAGAACCATGGAGTAACTTAACACTTTGTGTTTTACTGCCTGGTAACTTATTTGTACATCTGAGGGCAGAGCAAACATTTCATGGGACACAGAAGAGCAAATAATCCCGTCTGGAGGAGCGGCCTATTTAAGAACAACCCAGTGCTTTGGCAACATATTTTCCTAACATTTAAACCTTTCAAGAATTTAACCTTAAAATTTTCTTTTTAATGTTTATTTATTTTTGAGAGAGAGACAGAGCATGAGCAGGGGAGGGGCAGAGGAAGAGAGGGAGACACAGAATCCAAAACAGGCTCCAGGCTCTGAGCTGTCAGCACAGAGCCCGATGCGGGGCTCGAACCCATGGAAGGACCGCGAGATCATGACCTGAGCTGAAGTCGCACACTTAACCGACTGAGCCCACCCAGGCGCCCCTCAAAAATTTAACCTTTAGGAGGTCTTGTGACAAGACTTAAAAATAACAAAAGTGTATAACAGTGCTTTAAAAATAATATTCCTTTAAAAACATTTTTACCTTTTACTTAAAATAATTTCAGACTTACAAAAAATAATGTAAAGAATTCCATGATCTGTTTACCAGATTCCCCGAATGTTAGCATTTTATCTCCTTTGCTTTATCTCACACTTCTGGACAGATACAGATATAGACTTTTTCCCCGCTGAGTTATTTGAGAGTAAGTAGCAGATACAACTCCCCTTACCTCTAAATACTTCAGACGTTTTCTAAAAACAACGAATTTCTCTCATAACCACAATATACTTACCAAAATCAGGAAATTAGTAAAATTCTATTTCATCTATGGACCTTATTCAAATTGACCAGTGTCTCACTAGTGCCCTGTATAGCATAAAATATATATATATATACATACATATTTTTTTTCCTGGCCCAGGATCTGATCTTGGATCTCACATTCATACTTTGTTGTTATGTTTCTCTAAGTTGTCTTTAATCCCAAATAGGCTCTTGATGTTTATCTTTCATGACACAAAGTACCATTTTATATTTTATTTTATTTTGTTTTATTTTTTATTTTATTTTATTTTATTTTATTTCGTTTTATTATTTATCTCATCTCATCTCATTTCATCTCATCTCATCTCATCTCATCTTATCTTTGAGAAAAAGCAAGAGAGTGCACATGAGCAGGGGAGGGGCAGAGGGAGAGAGAGAAAATCTTAAGCAGCTCCATGCTCAGCACAGACCCCAGCTCGGGGCTTGATCTCATGACACTGAGATCATGACCTGAGTTGAAATCAAGAGTCGGATGCTCAACCAACTGAGCCACCCAGGCACCCCACAAAGTACCATTTTATTTTATTCATTTTATTTTTTAATTATGATTTTTTTAAAAGTGTTTATTTATTTTTGAGAGAGAGACAGAGCGTGAACAGGGGAGGGGCAGAGAGAGAGGGAGATACAGAATCTGAAGCAGGCTCCACGCTCCAGGCTGTCGGCACAGAGCCCGACACGGGGCTCAAACTCACAACCATAAGATCATGACCTGAGCCGAACCTGGATGCTTAACCCACTGAGCCGCCCAGGGGCCCCCACAAAGTACCATTTTAAATTGAGAGTGATTCTCACTGTTCTATTGTGCTATGGCCTTTATTCTTAGTTCTTTTTATTTTCTTCATCCCTAAGAGATGCCCTGCCTTCAAGCCTTTTCTCACTGACACAGCATATCACACCCAAGACACCACGTGCTATGGCACAAGAGCCTGTGTCCTGCCCCTCCCCCTGACCACAAACACCCTGCCACCCCAAACCGCCCAGTAGAAATGCTCCTTCTCATTATGTCAGAGGCAGATGTTCAGAAAGACCCTTCCACTGTCTGGCTTCACTGGAAGTCATTCTCTGCTTCCTTTTCACTTAAGGAAAAAGGTACGTTACAGCCTTTTGCTATGATACAATAATGACAGTAGGTATTTTCTACATTATTATATATTCAGTTGTTTTCTAATCAGGAAAGGGCTGTGTATTAAACCTGCTAGAGGAAAGGGCAGCTAGACTGGTTTACTTCTTTCTTACACCCCATCATGGAAAACCCACATGACTTCCCCAGAGGCCATAACCAGACCTAACCAACCCAAGTCTCCATCTAGGGCGGGAAGCCAGGACAGACCCTTCCAGCATCATCTTTCCATCCTTAAAAAGGAGAAGTCAGAAGGATTTCTGGGGAGCCACCCTCCATGCACCTTCCCCGTCCACCTTTGCCCACCTAGAAGAGCTCTGCTCCAAAGAACAGCACCTCCATGGGCCACTTGGCTGCAGCAAATGAAACTACAGATGCTGGAGAAAGTGACCAGTTAATGAACTTGGAAGTCTTTAACTTCACCACCCACTTCCCTAGACATTACAAAATATTTAAATAAGATAGAAAAACTAAGTCAAGCTAGAGCACCTAGCGGCTTTTCTCTTTCCCCAGCTGTGCGGGTTTTTAAAGCAGCAAGCCATAAAAAACACAGAATTGAATATTACTAAAGAAATTGGTGGCCAGCAATACTTGCTGTGTATAAATCGAATAGCTATTTGTTTATTTAGAATATTTAAAAAATATCAAGGTGGGGCAAGGTGGTCCAGACTGAGTGCTGACGTGTCCTTCCTCTTTGACACTTTATCTTCCAACCGGCTTGCCATGCTGGCAAGTGGTCAGAGTCCCGGGAAAAAGCCCACAGGGATGGGAGTCAACAGTTCCTTAGAAAATAATCCTCTGTCTGTGGCAGTAACAAAGTAGTACTTCTAAAAGGGGTGGGGGTGGGGCAGAAACTTCCAGATAAGCCCCTGGAGCATCCCATTGCACCAGGGAGTCTTCAGTTTTAAGTGCATGTTTTTTTCCTTTGCATCTCTCCACTCAATGAGAGTAACAAACCTTCAATAGAACCTGGAAGGAAACAGAGCAAAACAGGAACAGTGGTAATTAATTTATCTGGTTGGTGGGTAACTAGTTTCTTCTTGGAATTTAACATTTTGTAGATTTTTCAACAAGTGTTTAAGATTCTGATCACCATATTCTTTTTTTTTTTAAGTCAATGGGCATTAATAAGAACCTATTACATTGTGCTAAGCACAGGGGTTATAAAAATGAACATTGCTGTCATGTCCTTAGGAGTTCAAGGTTGAGCAAATGAAACAGTCTCAAAATGTATAAACCAGTCCAGTGTGTTGATGCTATGACAGATGGACATACAAAGTGAAAGAGAATTCAGAGTAAAGTATTCACCAAAGTAATTCTAGATCTCCAGTTCTTTGGGGGATCTGGGGCTCAGTCACTTTACATAAAGGCCCCTTATCAGCCTCCTTTAACTTAAGAGTCACTAATCTGAGTTTGAAACACCTACACACCCTGCAGGGGACAACAGATTCATGGAACCCATTCTACTGCTTTAGGTGATGTCAAGGAAGAAAACTTTCCTCTACCCTCTTATGTTCAGTATTGAAGGCCTGCAAATTAAACTGACAAAATACAGATTAGCATGAGCAAAAAACAGATTTAATGACCTAGATTATGCATGGAAGTTTACAAGGAAATGTGACTCAAGAAGGGGCTTAGCATCTTAATTGGAAATGGAAGAGGCAGGGGGCAGTTCTAGGAGAATAGGTGACCTGTTAGAAGGTTGAGGTAAAAGAGAACTTATGGAAAAACAAATGACTTTTTTGGAAAGAGAAATGGGCCCTTGGGGAATAGATGGGAGATTTGATAGTTTTGTGATAATATCTATCTGAGAAATTAGAGCTACTTTCGGGGAGCGGGTTGATGACAATTGAATTCTTGTGGGCGGCTCTGTTTTTAGGTAGGTAAAGGATTTCAGGAATTCATATGCCTTCGGCTCAAAGTAATTTTTATGCCACAGTGGCTTATTCTGGACCTCCTTCAGTGAGAAAGTACAAGCATGTGGGGCCACACAGAACTGACTGGAATCCCAGCCATGTCCATGCTAGTTCTGTGGCTTTAGGTAAGTCACTTCAATTCTTTAAGCACTGAACAGGAATAAGACTTTCATTTGCGATTTCGAAATAATGTACTTACAAAGTACTGATACAAAAAATGGCAAGTGGCAGATACTATTGTGGCCGTTTTAACCATTGTTATTTCAAGGCATAATCCCTTCCCTGCGAGAGCTTGCCATCCGGTTGAGAAGGGAATATTGGTGCTATTAAAAAGATAGTTTCCAAGGCAATATGATCCAAAGACCAAATGGGTGATCTGGAGCGAAGGCTGTGGGGTTCGGAGAAAGCCCCTGGGTGGTCTCAGATGTGTGGGTGGCCATCTTGGTCCTTCCTCACTCATGCATGTTGGGTTCTCACTGAGCAACCCAGATTTCTAGGCTTGCCCGTGGATTCTCGCTCTGTGAGTTTATTACTGAAAATATCTGGCAGCCGGCATGCACCCGCTTCTTTGCAAGTGTTAAGCACAGGGCTGTGTGCTGAATCTTTGAGCCCCATCAGTCCGCCATCCAGGCACCATCTTAGGCCTGGGGAGTGACAGGCATATTATGAGCAGACTCTTAGCAAACAAATGTAGATTCTTAATTCCAAAACCAATTTCCAAATGCATTCCAGAAGCACACACAGAAATGAAGCCTGCTCCACAGAGTTAATACTGCTCACTTCCAGCTGATGGCAGGAGACAAGAGACACAGGATCGCCTAATGAGAACTGATCAGGATATTCTCTTTGGCGATAATAGCAAATGTAAAACAGTCAAACCTCAGACTCCCCTTCTGGTTGCTGTCGGATTTGTGTAATAAACTTGCACACAGACGCGTGCACACACGTATATATCCGTACAATTCAATTCCCCAGGGCATCTGACCAAGCCCAGGCCCACTCTCTTGTTTTTAACAATAATATTTTCCATTTAATCTCTCTTAGAATTTTTGGAGGTTTTGTCCATTCCAAACTCAAAGGGAAAAAAATTAGCATTTAGATAGGATTGCACCAGCATTAAAATCAATTGAAATGAAAACAGAGGATCATGGGAGGGTTGAGATGCCTGGAGTTTTTTCTATAGGATGATTCTAGTGTGACAGCCAGGGTGCCCAGTGACTCCCTTTCATTAGTATTCACTCAGATTTGTCCCCGGTGCCTCCTTCTTATACATCTTCCTCTCCATGTTTTTTGGGGAATCACGGTTCTCATCACAGAGGGTCCTCCAAAGCTCCTGCTATGGATGGGATGGGATGGATTGATGCGAAGGAGACACAGGCGTATGGTCCTTTCTGTCCAGGATGTAGAAACATGGAGTGCCACTTGCCCACAGATGTGAAATAACTGCTCGATTCTTGGCCTGGCCCCCGGCCTCCACAGCCACACCCACTTGTCAGTGTCACACCCTCACCTTTCTCTAGCTCCCATATCCACTCTTCCCACAGCCCCCCACACTCATAGAAATCCGTTACAGGCCTTTACTGCTTCGGCAAGCTTTGGGACTCAAGCAGAAAGGACCCCAAGGAAGGAAACCTGGAAAGTCAACGTCAGCAAGGTGCCCCTTACTGACTACAAAGGTTCTTCAACAGGAGGTGTGTTAGCAGAGAAGCCCTACGCTTGTATATGATTCTTGTGTGAACAGAACAGACCCACATCCTACTTTGCCTCAGAGTCCTGTCTGCTGTCAGTTTGCGGCCGGTTGCAGGGTCCGTCAGCAGCATTCAGAAGTTCCCCTAATCGCTGGTTCTGGCAGTGAATTCTCGAAACACAGGCCGACAACGGCGTTTACTGAGCTAGGTGCAGAGTGCTTGCTGCCCTCAGAGTGCCTGACGGGCCAGACTCACGTTTTTCCTCCTTGTGCCTTTTACTGCAGCTCTCCTGGACCCAGCAGCCCATGGGAGTGAGGCCCTGTCAGTGCTGATGTGTGTAGTGGTGTTTTCCTGTCTCGCAAACCCATTTATCAAACAGCACGTGTTCCTCCCAGTTGCTCATCAATATTTCCTTCCTTACTGTGCGCCCCTCTGTTCCCCTGGCCCCCGTGTCCACTGCCCCTCCGCCACCTTCCCGCTGCCCGTTTCCATTCCAGCCTCCCTGTCTGTCTCTGACTTGCTCCTTAGTATCTCTCCCCCTGGGAGCGTAACCTTTGATTCTTTTCTCCTCCAGGAAGATGATTTGAATGGGATCCACATTGTGGCCTTTGCAGAGAGGAGTGACCCAGGTAGGAAACCCCCAATCTTCCCCTTTGTACCTTGAGCAAGATCTGCCTTCTCACCTTTGCCGGTCCTCATTCCTTTTTCTTCCCTCACTTCCTGTCTGCAAGGCCACTGCAAGATATTGGGCACCCCCTGGTGGTCGCTTGTTACGTAGGACTTCATTTTCAGTTGTGCTGGTGGCTAAGGGATGTGGATGAATCATAACCTCGTTCTGTTCTGCTTAGCTGGCCAAACTAGGAAGGAGCACTGAGTACTGGGGAGGATATGAAAACATCCTAGCTTTACAGGGAGTGTGTGTGTGTGTGTGTGTGTGTGTGAGAGAGAGAGAGAGAGAGAGAGAGAGAACTTCTGTTCACATTAAAAGTTTATTTACCAGTGTTGTGATCTAGCCTATATAAATAACAATCCTATGTTAGAATTACAACAAATGTACCCTTTGGTTTGTAAAATCCTGTATGTGCTTGGGAAACTTCATAGAAAATATTCCCTCAAATAATGAGAACTGGACAAAACTAGCAGTTAATTTCTAAAGTGCAAAATAACCCTATAAATGGATGAGTAACTTGGTTTTATTTGGGAACCTGGATGACTATTTCCTGGCTTCACTCTTTTTTTTTTAATTAATTTATTTATTTTGAGTGGGGGTTGGGGGCAGAGAGAGGGAGAGATAGAATCCCAAGCAGTCTCAGTGCTGTCTGCACAGAACCCAACCGTGAGATCATGACCTGAGCTGCAATCAAGAGTCAGACGCTTAACCGACTGAGCACCCAGATGCCCCTTGGCTTCACTCTTTTTCACATCCGTGAAGAGTGAAGTGCAGGAAAAATGAATGTTGCTGGCGGTAAAATGCTAGGTCCCTTTGGCAATGCCCTGTGAGATAAATCGTCCCCAAAGGGAAAGTGTGAGTGGACATTCTGAAGTGTGTTTGGGGAGACCTGGCAAATCCAGATTGCCACCAGGGAAGGCAGGGAATTTCATTTAGGATGGCTAAACAGCCAGGCCTTGGGCCACAAGGTGCCCGGGCAGGGATTCCAAACCTGCCAGCACAGAGAAGCACAAGCACCAAAGCCACCTGGGGCTGATTATAACAGGACTTTCAGAAACCTGTAATTTCACGGAACTCCGAGGTGAGTTAGTTAACACAGCATTGGGTTTGGGAACTGTCGCTCCAGGCCATGTAGGACTGTGGCCTTTGCCTGGGGCCTCTTGTATACTCATAGAGACGACCAGGAAGCTCCGAGAAGCTGAGCAAACTTCCCACGAGGGCACAAGGAATTAGTGGTAGGTCATGAGGGAGCCAGAGATGGTCTTGGCCATCATTGCTTACCTGGTCCTTGTGCAGTGCCTTGACGAATAGTAGATACTCAATAAACAGCTGTCGGGAGGTGATCAGATCAGCACATGACTGACCAAGACTGAGCCCCAAGACTCCACTGCCATGCTGTTAATACATTATCAGCCTGCGTAGTTCTTACAGATTGAGACTTAAATGTTGTTATCATACAATTTTTAATCAAACTTGAGAGATAATCCCTACATGACAATATTCACTTTAAAAAATTGTTTTTATTGCTTATTTATTTTTGAGAGAGAGAGTGGGAGCAGGGAGGGGCAGAGAGAGAGAGGGAGACACAGAATCCGAAGCAGGCTCCAGGCTCTAAGCTGTCAGCACAGAGCCTGACATGGGGCTCGGACTCACGGGCCATGAGATCATGACCTGAGCCGAAGTTGGGTGCTTTAACTGACTGAGCCACCTGGGCGCCCCAACAGTATTCACCTTTTTAAAGTGTGTGATTCGGTGTAGCTTTAATATATTCACAAAGCTGTGTTCTATCTAGTTCCAGAATGTTTTCAGGCCCTCAGAAGGAAAGCCCACGCCCATCAGCAGTGGCTCCTGTTTCTCCTCCCCCAGCCTCGGGCAGCCACTACTCCACTTTCTATCTCCATGGATTTGATTATTCTGGACATGTCATAGAAGTGGAATTATGTAATCTGTGGCCTTTTACGCCCGGCACCTTTCGCTTGGCCTAATGTGTTCGAGGTTCTCCATTATGTAGCATGCATGCATCAGTAATTCACTCCGTGTTAGGGCCAAACACTGTTCCATTGTATCAAGACCAAATGTATGCTCCAAATTATCTGAGGGTTTCCTCCTCCCTTTTTTTTTTATTAAAAGTTCTGAACGTCCACTCTGTCTCAGTTTTCCCATCACTGACTTGCAGAGTTGAAAAAACTCTCCCAGGATATCTAGTCTTTGACTGAAAAAGAAAAGCCCGAATGGTTCCAGCTGCTCTCCACAGTTTCTGGCTACCCCTCTGCCCCTGGAGGAGAAAATAGCAAAGGAAGCCAATTGCCCAGGGTTTACAAGGTATAATCAAACAGAGTCGGATTCCTGGTGTTGTGTGAACAGAGATGGAATTGCCATCAGCAGCAGTGTGCTGGCCAGACTCAGGGTGGGGGTGGGGGGGCTTCCTCCCTCCCCACCCCCACCCTGCCCCACCTGCTCCCTTCCAGGATGGTGGGGGAAGCCTGTCTGGCTCTTCGGAACAATGGAACAAAGAGGCCTCCAAGAAGTTGTAGGAACCTGTTTGACAGAGATTGCTGCTGTAATGAATCAAGCTCCTGAAACTACTTTCACCTCCTCCCTGCACAAATATCCCTGGGCCCGAAGCTGTGTCTTTCCCCAAAGGAGCCCAAGCTTGGGCTTGTTACTGAGAAGCGGGAAGAAATGCACTGAAAGAGGGGGCGTGTGGTCTCATAGCAGATTTTTTCATCAAGGGAGGGCCTGGCCCACTCAGGCCTAGGAAAGGGAAAGGCTTTTCTGCGAAAGTCCAGACTGTGTGGCTAGTCAGTCATTACCCGAAGGTCACTGATGTGTAACCCGGGGCTGAGGGGCCTGGCTGCAGGACTAGGAATTTCATTCCTGCCCAGACAGTGGTTGCTCGTATACCTTTGCTCTTGCTAACAAGCTGTACATGGCCGATTGCCCCAACCAAATCCTTACCCGCTGGCCAAAGAACGATCATACATCCAGGAAGTGCATACGATTCTCCTTAAAGAGCTAACAGTCTTGAGGAAACGCGCTATACAGAGATGACCTCATCCGGTCCCCAAAGCCACGATGCGGTATATGTGCGATTATTGTCAACCCAGCTCAGATGAGAAAAGCGGGTTTTAGAAGTTAAATGACCCAAATCACTTGCTGTATCTAAGCCAAGATTCAAATTCCAGCAGGCTTTCTTGACCTCCGAATCCGTCCTGATTATGATGAAATAAATGGTCATGATCATTTGTCTGCTTATGAGACAGAACCCCACGCGGGCGTCCCTCGTTTTGTTCCCATTTTACAACTGAGGAAGCTGAGGCCAGGGTGGCCTGCTGGGGGAAGCAGAGCAGGAATGAGCTGTGAAGGCTTCCTTCGCAGGAAGGCCTTGCTGCAGACTTGGGGGCCCCTCCCAGTTACCACCTCAATGGCCTCCAGTAATCACTCGGCCCGCCCTCCTTCCTCTCTGCTGCCCTTCACCACCCCCTCCACCTCCACCATGTGAAAGACACAGAGAAGTTCCATAGTGTGTGCTCGAGATCACATGGCCAGAGGCAGAGCAGACACAGGAGCTTCGATTTCTTGCCGGCGCAGCTGAGCACCCTACCTGCCGGGCCACCTGGCCCTAGACGGGCTCTGAGCATGCGCAATGCAGCTGGAACGTGGAGATGGGGAGGGGGCAGGGAGGGGTGGGCAGGGAGGGCAGGAGAAAGGGGGAAGTGAGAAGAGAGTGCCAAGTAAAGGAGGGAGGTCAGCCGTCCTCCCTGCTGTCCACTGATGTTCCCAGATTTGGAATACGACTGTCTATCCTAGTGATCTGGGTCCCTCAAGGGCTCTTCTCCGACCGGTCCTGACAATGCCAGCTGTGAGCTTGGTTCCCAGACTTCAGTGCCTGCTCTCTGAGCCCTGGAAGGACACGTCTGGCGCTCTGCTCTCACCCCAGATCCCAGGCCCTGTGTGCGGCTCCGTCTTCCTCCTCCAGAGCCTCTCCCGCTCCTGCGCTCAAGATGCCCCTGGAGCCACAGTTTGACAGGTTTGAAAACGAACGCCTCTCCTCTGCCGCCCCTAGATGCGTCTGCATCAGGCTGACATCTTCTTTATAACACCTGCTGAAAGGTTCGCAGACTGGCGTTTCTACATGAGCGCATGCTGGATGGATATCCTCCAAGGGCCCAGGGAATATTCGCACTAACAAGCTGGAAACACAAGGACGGGCTGCCGTGTGCAGGCGCGGATTGGCCCCAGAATGAACGTCTCCAAGCCCTGTTCCAACCAGACTGCAACCACCTGAGGTTCTTACGAAATGCTTTTGAGACCAGTTGTCTGCAGTGGGCATGCTGACTGCTTATTTGAGCTTCCAAATGCAAGTCTGCTTTATCGAACTTAGCATTTGGGGTTCTTGCTAAGTGCTAACTGTGCATGTATCACAACCCTATGTACTAGGTATGGTCCTTATCATCTTCCCTGATGTACAGATGAGGAAACAAAGGTATGGAGAACTTAAATAACGTCACCAGGTCACATAGCTAAGAAGTGGTAGAACTGGGGCTCAAATCCAGGCCCCCAGCCCCTGGGCTTGGCTCTGAGATACACAGGTCTCTGCCAGACAGAGCCCTGGCTCCTGTCACGGCTGGGACTGTCCCCCAGGGCTTGGTCCAGCCTCATTCCCACCAGATCCTCCCTGCCTGGGAGGAGGAGAGCATAATCACCAGTTTCCCCTCCCACAGAGCTGTGATTCCCAGAGGCCTCTCGCCTGCCGTGGGAAACCTGGCTCCACACTGGCCCTCAGCGCTGGGTCATGGGACGTCAGGTTCCAAGCCTGTGTGGCAGGGAGGGAGTCACAGTTCTCACAGTGCCAGGTCCCTCTTCTTTATTTAGGTCGATCTCTGAGACTCCAGTCACACTCAGGGACACCACTGAGTTAGCCAACCAAACACACTGGGGCTGGGAGGAAGAGGGGGC